CTTAGCTAAAGTAATTCCTGTTTCTGAGACTAAGGCACTATTGATCAAACGGATGATGAATAAGTACCAGTAATATGTCACCAGGCGGGCCAAATTCTCACTTAATCTGTAGCATCCTTGATATATATCATAGGTGGTTTAGACTCTAGTCTTGTAACAGCTTTATTAGTCAAAGATGCCAAAGAGCAGAAGTTACCCTACCCTATCCAGACGTTCGCCATTGGTATGGAAGGTAGTCCCGACTTACAAGCCGCTAAAACGGTAAGCAACTAGCTTTATCATATACCAAGAACCCGTTGTCAAGTAGATGTTAATTTAAAGGGATTGTACCGAGGCTTTCTGAAATGTTTATGTATATTGAGACATTGATAGTATCAACTTGTACCAATACTGTGACAAAAGTTCTAATAGGTCTGCTTGAAAATCTGGTGACCTTGAATAAGACATCTTTTCTAAAGATTACAAGTGATCCAGCTGTAAATGGGTACTGAAAAAAGAGAAAGAAAGAAAGAGAAAGATCCAAAATGTTTGGGCAAAAGTCAGCTGTTATCCTTGAATGAAATCTATGAATGTTTCTTGTCAATTTGTAGGTAGCCAACTATCTAGGAACAGATCACCATGAAGTTGTCTTCACACCGGAAGAAGGTGTACGAGCAATTGAAGATGTAATATATCATTTAGAAAGTTATGACATCACAACTATACGAGCATCAGTTGGTAAGTGAACCACCCCCTTCCCCGAAATCCAATGTTTTCAGTTCAAATCACACTCTTCTAAAATGAAAAGTTTCCTAATTACCACAAGCGTCTGATTGAAAATGCTACTAGTCTTCCCAATACATATTAAAAGTTTAGAAAACCTCTTTACATAACCCTTTAATAATACCAAATTAGCTTTAGAATAATAGAAATATAGGACCTTTTATAAAATTTTCTTTCTCTTCTTTTGCTGATTTCTGAATATTTCGATGTTTTTCCACGATATTTGGTATATTTTAGGAATGTATTTAATAAGTCAGTATATCAGTAAGAAGACGGATACAGTTGTGATATTATCTGGTGAAGGTTCTGATGAACTAGCTCAAGGTTATATATATTTCCACAAGGCACCTTCATCCGAGGAGGGGGACAGAGAGAGCAGACGACTACTAGAAGATCTTTATATGTATGATGTACTCCGGGGTGATAGGACTACCTCGGCTGCTGGGTAAGATATTTTAAAGTAATAAGACTTACTGGTATTAAAGAAAGAAAGGATAAGGATTACAATTAGATTCTACTAGCTCAGTGGCGTTTGTAGGAAAAATTAGCTCACCAGCTGGTCCTTGGTCAAACCTCTCGATACTGTTTTCAGGGATAACAACTGAGGTTCTCAATGAACATTTCTACCAACTGGTCCGTGACCAATTCCCTACAGATTACCCTTGTCCATTCAATATTTAATGCA